ACAACTGAAGCCTTATTGCCTCCCTTATACTGTTTGCAGTATTTTTGACTGATCAAATTTAAAAGAGGAAGATATGTGATATGTAAGAAATGGACACAGTCTAATAACACTAAAATGATCATATTGGATATGTGGAAATTAAAGAACTATTGAGCAGAATATTTTTTTCCAGGTGTCTCCAAGCAACACACAGCAGCTTGGGCCGATTAAATTGATTGCCTTGGGATAATTCCAAAGGCCAGATTACTATTTAAGAGAAGTTGATTGATTTACTGTAGAAGATCCCATTAAACATTATTAATAAGACTACCGTATTTTCCGGCGTATAAGACGACTTTCTAAACACTGAAAATCTTCTCAAAAGTCGGGGGTCGTCTTATACGCCCAGTCGTCTTATACGCCGGAAAATACGGATATTCTATTTTATTCCTTTACACATGTGGTTTGGCATATTACTCATCAAGTTTTCTCTCCCCCCCCCCTTCTCTCTCGCTCAAACTCTATATTTTAACTGGAAAAGTTGGGGGTCGTCTTATATGCCCAGTCGTCTTATACGCCGGAAAATACAGTACATTCCTGGTTTCACCACAGATTCTAATTATCCTAACCTACTGGCCAGCCAAATGCATACACTTTCCTTGCTTCTTTATCAGCTAGAAAGGAGCTTCAAATACTTTTGAGGTTAATCTTGACAACATTAAAATAGGGATCACCCTTTGTTATAATTTTCTGCATGAATTTAACAGCCAAACTTAAAACTTTCTGAAAACCATGAAGGAGGCGAAGGATTGAGAGCTTGTAAAGATCAACACAATTAGATGTAAGAATGTAATCTGATAACTGAATATTTGTTTCATTATCTCTCCAGTGTGGAATAACAGTTCCTAGGTCCATAAAACGTTAATGACAAGATCCTTGAGCATTAGGTAATGTGACTATAGGAATTTGTGAAAAATAGAAAGTTAATTCTTATTACATTCCTGAAGTGATATAAGCTCACCTCCCTGACTTTCAAGAGAAAGAAAATATGATGGATTATACAGATTTTTTTTTCATAACACTATTTCCTCATAGTGTTTTGTTAACAATGATTGATTCAGAAAGGAAAACTATTCTAGAATAGGTTTGTATGGAAAAAAATAGTTAACGAGCTAAAGGAAACAAAGACTCAGAAAACGGAGCAAATTATCCTAAGGCTTGGCTTAGTCAGAATGAAATACTTTTGCAGTGAAAAGTAAAGAGAGTTGAGAGGGGATTTATTCTGCGTTCTGTGGCAATCTTGTCATGTTCGATGAACAGCAGATATACACTTCTATACAATGCATAAGGAAACAAGTATATAGTTTAAAAGCAGGAGTTTTGAATTATTAAATTATACGTTTAGCTTGGGGTCGAATCTTTTGTAGGATATAAACTTAAATTGGATCTAAAGCCAGCCCAGTTACGTATGTAGTTTTAATATAGCTTTTGTTTACATATTACTCTTAACATTACAAATACAGTAGAAAAAGTAACAATTACAAAGAAATATTACTAGACATGTGCAGTTACTGAGATTAGAAAGATAGTTCTCAACACCTAGAGCACGGGTGTCAAACTCGCCATGTCATGACGTATCACGACTTTTTTTGCATTGCAGGAGCTGGGGTGGGCGCGCCCTCCGTATGATGCAACTGGCCCACCCCGGGCCAGTTTGACACCCCGGACCCAGAGTCTTTCAGTAATGGTCCAATAAAAGATGAATGAACTTTGAATCAGACAAACATCTAAGCTGAGTGGTTATGACCTCTTTCATTTTTTAATTACAAGCTTTACTGTCCCACTTCCCAGCTTAATACTGATTAGTTGAAAATGATTAAAACAAAAACTAAAATTAAAATCATGTTTAATCATTTAATCAATTCATAATTTTAAAACGCTCCAGGTTTGCAATATTTGAGAAACAAAAATCCAGACAACCTCTAACCTGGAGTAAAAAGTGTTTCCTGTATATCTTTATTGCCATTTAGTAGTCAACCAGAAGTGGTGCCATCGAAAATCCTACCAAATGTGAAGATGCCAAAGGAGTACTGCTAGTGAAATGGAGTGTGGTTTGACCATCAATTCAGATGTCTACTGTGAAATGTTATAACAAACATCAGGGCATGCTGACTTCCGGTGTGATGTTGGTTCACAATAATGCTCACCCGCACCCCGCTACACGCACCCAAGAACTTCTGAAGCAGTTCCATTGGGATGTTTTTAATCACCCACCCCCCATAGCCTAGATTTGGCATCAAGCAACTACTACTAAGGAATTTGTAACCTCATAAGATGTTATGACAAGTGCCTCAATTTGAATGGCGATTATGTCAAAAAGTAATGTAATTTTGTAGTTTTCTAATGTGTATCATAAAAGTTCTGTATCTGCGAGTGTCTATCATTGATAACCAAATGGAGGTTTATTTCCGAATTTCCCTCGTGTATTAGGTATACAGTAAATTAGCTAGACAAGGGAGCAACACATTGTACTATAGTTAGAAGTAGTTCTAAAGTAGTTCTTAAATTCAAAATTTACTTTTCTTAATGCAATGAGCTAAGCCTCAACCTTTGAAGACATAGAATGTAAATCAATTAATCTATAGATACATCGTTTGGAATACCTTACATAGAAGCAATTATAACACTCCTATAAAGTCACAGGTATTTAATTCAAAGAGCAATGGCCTTTTTATTAGAACATATAAGCTACAATCCAATCTTTAACAATGTAAATATTAGAATTTTAAAATTAAATAATATTAGGTTTTTTTAAGGAAGGTGGCACAATCTAATAGGAATGAAAAGTGATGTAGCAAACCCCTTGGAACTGCTATAGATACATAAACAATAACATAGTTGCCAAACTTTAAAATAAAATGGCGAGGTATTTAACTTTATGAAATTAAGATTATCTTTCTTAAAATCAATGCAATCCTCAAGAGGCAATTGACTGACAACATAACACAGACATGTCGAATTTGCGACGTCACATGACGTCGCGCAATGTATCGGGCCGGTTTTGCCATTGCCAGCAATGGGGTGGGCGCAGCTTCCACGTGACGCATCTGGCCCGCGGGCCGGAAGTTTGATACCCCTGACATAAAATAAATAATTTTGCTCCAGGATAAAAGCAACCTTTTGTTTGCACCTTCTGACAAAAACATGGAAGTAAATGCAAGAAAACACTAAATTCCCTAAGATGTAAAATACAAGAGAGTTTCTGGCGAAGTTCCTGGGTAGACCAAGCATACTGTACTAAAAACTGCTGTAGTGTACAGAGAGCAACATATCTAAAACTTTTGTTGTTGTTGCTGTTACTGGGCAATTCACAATCCTGCTAAGCTCCTAAACTTAAAAATAGTTTAGTAAACTACAACACTGGTTTTTGACTTATTTATGGGATGATTTAACACTATTGTACTGTGTGTTCTCCTCTTCACCATTTTCTGTTACACCTCAATAAAAAGGGTTTATTTAAGTTGGTCTTTAAACTTTAAAAAAGGAAGGAAAAGGAGAAACTTTAAAACATAACCTACCCAAAAATGATTAAGAATTAAGCCTTAAGAACGGTCTATGGATCTAGAGATTTCCTGATGAGATTTTTGGGCTAACAATCCATTTAAGAAGTGAATAGTCTTTGTTAAATAAACTGGCCTGGAAAAATAGTCAGATTAAGCTATAAACATCCTGTCCAGATTCTATCATGATCTGTCACAGTATGACAGCACATGGGGCTTGGAGGAAAAAATTAATACAAAGCAAAAAAGAAAAAAGGAACACTGACAATACTTTGTAAATATTAAGTAGAAAGGGTGGAAAAAGCAACCTAAAAGTTGGAATAAGGAGGTGGGAATCATTGTGCTTTTGTTCTCTCTCACCCTCTTAACCTACATATCCACGCAATCTTCTTATCTAGGAGAAAAGGCTTTATCTTTACGTTTACTTATGTATTTGGTAGTGCAATGACCTGTTCTAACAATCTTAGGCTTGATTCTCTACAAATCTTGCTTAATTTGCTTTAGTCTGCAACTGCAAATATGTTGAAGAAACTTTTATTGATACCAATGCCTTAGTACCACAAAACATAATGGTTATCAGCAGAAAGTCAGACAGCAGTTGGGAAGGGTCAATTTCTTATTTTAGTCCATAGCCTGGCTTTATTGTAAGAAGACTGAATCTTTCTTTTCTATCTATTTCACATCTGCTACAAGTATTCATTAGATCTCGTTTTCTAAACAATGTTAGCGAGAATAAAGCAAGTTTACTAGACTGCGACAGCCCCACAATGAACACAGGAATAATAAAATGTTCTCATGGCAGGTAGAAATTCTCACAATGGTTGTACCTGATGTTGAGCCGAGACATAATTTCTAGGCATCTCTAATGCTTTGGATTCTTGCTTTGAACAGCAGGAGCACAGACATAGCTCTTAAAGCAGCTGTATCTTTTTTTTTGTGTGGCAGCTGCAAAGAAAAGCCACAAGAACTGGAAAAGTTCCATAGCAAAGTGTAATTTTTGTTAATTCCATTATAAAATGTTATGAATGTTACGACTGAAAATATTTAATGCTGAGAACTCAACTGCTTCTTAAAAAGGGAAGGTCTTTGCTGATAATCATTTTATGAAATCACTATTCTTTTCACAACATTGTTTCGGAAACCTAAGAGTTTTTTTGTTTACTTTTTTGTTTACTGTTTATGAAGCATTTGTAGTTCAAGCAGAACTGACTCTAAGTGATAAGGTTTGGAAAGAACAATTAAATGGCTTGCTTTCAGAAGTTGTGGATGCCCCATCATTGGAGGCTTTCAAGAAGAGACTGGACAGCCATTTGCCTGAAACGGTATAGACTCCTGCTCAAGCAGGGGATTGAGCTAGATGACCTCCAAGGCCCCTTCCAACTCTTTTATTCTATGAAATAATATTTAAGCAACCATGTTAGAATTGACAGAGATTTTTTTTCACTTCCTAAAGATGCTTACCTGAACTTTTTTTAAAGCTACTGGCACACCATCCAACAAGCATGTAGCTCTGTAGACTTCGCTAAATTGTCCACGCCCAATCTTCTTTTCTATCCGAAAATTGGCTAAAGTATTATAGCCCATATCAGGTCGTAAGGCTTTCTGCAGTCCAGGAAACAAAAACAAACATTTAAATAAACCTTCTTTTATCACCCCCAATAGAACTATTGTTCAGAATATTAACTCCAGAAAAATAAATGTGGGAGAAGATATTCATGGAAAGATAAACTTGCATGTAGTGGCAGGAACAAGGAAATACTCTTTATTGGCAGCTATATTCAAGTGGGTGCTTGAAAAAAATTAAGCAATGTTTGTTCTGAGTTTGAAATGCTCACTTGAGAAATGGGAATATTATACAAACTTGAGATAATATATCTAATTTTAAAAATGAATTCTAAGTGCCAGTAATTTCCCACTTACAGATCTACAATTCCCTCCATCTTTTTAAAACTGACAAAAAGGTCTATGTTACCAATGGAAGGTTTGATACTTACAGCATACTTCCAGGTTCAGTTTAAGCAACTAGCTTTGGTCTTCAAAGTCGTTAAGAGACAAGGATAATGTTTCTGAACAGATGCAGGGGGAGTACAAGTGCCAAATAAATCATGGAGTTCACTGGATAGCCTCAAGTAAGTCTCTCTCAGCCCCGTTATGTTACATGGCTGCTCAAGTATTTGATAAGAATGTAGGAATTGTTAGCCAGTACAACAAGGCGCCATATGAAGTGGTAAGTTCTCGTTAATTGGAGGTCTTCAAACCAAGGCTATGTCACCATGTTTTTAAAAACTGTTCTAGTGGTTCCTGCACTATGCAAGGGGTTTGACTAGATGCCTCGAAAATCCTTTCCAGCTCAATGATTTGATGAAAATCTATCTTTGATAACTACCCATTACACTTAAGGACAATGAAAGGTAAAAGTGCCTCTTAATCTTTTCAGCTGCTATATCAGTGGTTCTCAACCTTTTTAATGCCGCAACCCCCAACCGGTCGTAAGTCGAGAACTAAACCGGTCATAAGTCAAGGACTAAACCAGTCGTAAGTCGAGAACTACCCAACCAGTCGTAAGTCGAGGACTTTCCCTGCCCGGGAGGGCTGCGTATGCATGGTTCCGCCCCCTGCGCCGGCCGAGGCGTAGCTGGCAAGTGGCAGAGAAGGAGTAGGCCGACCACCAGCTGGCCCAGCCCAAGGGAGGTAAGGCACCCGCCGGAAAAGGGGGAAAAAATGGCGGACAGCCTTGCTTGGCGACCCCCGTGAAATGGTCGATCGACCCCAAATGGGGTCCCGACCCATAGGTTGAGAACCACTGTGCTATATTTTGCTATTTGCCATGTAGGGCGGTCTTAGTGGAAACTGAACTCCAAAATAGTTGAGGGTGCCAGACATATACCTGGCTTGGACATTTTTTCTAAAAATCTCCTTGGCCCATCTCTATGTTATATGTATACATGTATAATATATGTGTTTGTGTATACACACACACTTGTGTGAATTGAGAGGAACACACATATATATTCTACGTTGGTCTATCGGTCAGTTTAATATTGTTCATATAGGTGTTACATTCAGAAGACAACTCCTAGAGAGAAAACAAAGCTTCCTATGGGCTACAGCAGATGAAGCCGAAAATATGAAGGAGACATGGAATCCAGCATGGCATTTCATCACTCCAGAGAAAAACTAAAAGCTTAATTCATTACTGATGCAAATACAGGGAAGAATATGTACTGAACCACAATCAGAACCTGTGTGAAAACATTTCCAAAGAGATCAATTAAGCACACCTTACTGTACTGCTTTAAACAAAATCAAGATGAACACAGTATTAAAATCTACAGTTTTCCTCCACTTCCACTCTTGATGTTCTTTTACAATTTACTATTTAAACAGACTCACGCTTGATTAATACACAGCTGACATGTTACATATACAAGGCAAGACAATGAGTAACTTAATATTCCAGACTGTATTTTGCTCTGTCATACTGTATAATGTTTCTAAATTAAAGTTTTACAGATTTGTGCATTAAATACAACAGTCTAAACTGAAATAACAAGAACAACAACAAAAAGATCTGGAGGAGAACAACAACTGTCTCATTTCTAGAATTTATATTTGAAAAGCATACCAACTCAAAATGATTTGGGAACGGAAATACTCTCCTTAAAATTCCAGCAGCTACTAAAAATCAACTTAGACTTTTGACTCATCGGTTAGTCAGCCCCACAATCAAAAATATTCATCAGATGAAGCAGAGTCCAAATATGGAGATAGGAATGGCAGTATACCAATTCAGGAAAAATATACTCCAAGTGCCTATGCAGGCTTAATCAGTTCTTTAGCAGTTAGAGGAAAAACATTCAAAGTTGGGGAAACTCTCTCTTATTATTCAAATGCTCAGGCTACAGAGAAACAGAATGTAGCTTCATTAAGTTTGGAGTATTTCTGTGGTTATTTAACCAGCTTATATTTCAAAATTGGAATAGCGAATTGCATCCTCTGTCTGCACAGCAACTTGACAAACATTAGCATGAACTACTAAGGCAGTGTGACAGCCGCATGCTGAGAGCAAAGTCTCCCTAATGTGTTTTGGCATGCAGGTTTGTAATCACACATTTACATATGCAATGACCTACATTTGCATGTCAGATCACACACTGTCTGGCTTTATTAAGACCGGGCACCTCTCTGTGTTTGGCGGTCAGAGTGGCGAGAGAGGGCCAGAGGGTGGTGGGGTTTTTTTGGCAGCGGAGACATGAACTGCCACTGAGAATTAGACTGAGATAGCCTGAGCATTAGACACTTCATTAGAGGTAATCTGTTTAACAGTGGGCACTGTATGTAAACTTCACAGCCCATTTGCAGCATCTTCTCTGCCCACCCAACCCCAGTGGTCTTCCTTCAAAGGGCAGTGTGGCTGACTGACAGCTTGTCTCATCTGCTCCCTTGTTCTGTCATACAATTCAGACACAGAGACCTGACATGAGAAGCAGCATAGCTGCACATCTCCAACTATACAGCGGGACTCCCTTCCAGACATAAAGGAATTTGGAAGAGGAATAAATGCACGGATAATAGGGCCATCAGTTGGTCAGAGAACATATTATATAGCAATGATTAGACTGCGTTGTAACCAGGCATATTTTTTTTATAAAAAAATGGCAGTATTTTCTATAGTATCTAACAAGGGGATTCTGATTTTTTTTTTCTTCAAATAAAGCCAAAATTCATATACTGAACTAAAATGACCTATTTTAACTCATTCCTGTATTCAAAATAAATCCATAATTTGTGAATGAGGTGAGAGTTACAAGAACAGACTCTCATTCTCCTTGCCTCTTTTGACATCAATTCTTCCCTCCTTTCCTTTTTCAGTAGACAGTATGATTTGCCTGGTACTGCATACAAAGAGATAAAAATTTGCAAAATGCCATCCAAAGCGTAATCAAACAAGCATCCATCACATACCAAGAAGCACATATTGTCACATTATACTTATAGGGAGGGAAACAAAACGGCTATGTAAACTGTATTTTCAGTCCAAATTCGACTACTTTGTTGAATTTGGTGCCTGTCAACAGCCTTTCCCACTCCTTACTAAAGAACTGCAGCTATAGACCTGGTTTCAACATTTTAATTAAATAGTTGCATTCCACCACAATGGAGGTCCATTCTTCCAACAATAGCAGGGCCAACACTTTTATGAATGCTTGAAAATGATGCTTTCAAAAGAGAAAGAGAAGCACATTCTTGCTAATGATTTCCAAAATCCAAGAGGCAACTTTGCTTTGTTAACCATTACTTTCAATTATTTATAGCTGCACTATTTTGCACTGACTTAACATTCTGTGGACCTAACATAGTACATTTTCTCTTTTAGGACAATAGAAAAGGGTTCCAACATGTAAGTTTCCCTTGGGACTATGAAAACATGCTGCAGGGATACCAGTTACACTATAGCACATTATCTAAAAATCACCTTGCACGCTGCCTTTCTCCTAATTACACTATTTTGTTGCTCTGATTCTTTATTTTACAGAATATTTATTTTTATCTCTGGTATTATTCAAGCATGATACAGGGTTTTTTTTCAGTCAGCTGAGGTGCCAACATCTGACACAAACCCTGTCACAAATCAGAGAGCAAGGACAGTCTTCAAATTTATGATTTAACATTCTGCTCTGAAGCACAAGTCACAAGCCACATCATCCCTTGCAGATGTTTAATCACCCTCTACCCCTCCAGAGGTTATGACTGCAACTGTATATTAAAATAGTTTTTCTTTCATTGCATTTATCTTCACCAGTCCTGGAGCCCTTTAAAGAATTGTCCTGTTCAGATATACTCTTGAAACTTAGATTGTTGAAAAATGAAATTTCTAGGTCACTTTCAATATGAGGGATGGGAGTGGGGAGCTGGCAGAAATACTCACTTGCAAAACAAACTGAAGGTAAAAATGTTTTCGTTACATTACGGTGAGCACCTTGAACCCACTTGTGCATTTCTATTCTTCTCAAAATACAACAATAATTCCCAAGGTTTGAAGCAATTCTGGAGCCTAACATAAGAACGTAGCACTAGAAACCGAAATACCTTTGAACAAATGCAAGTAACAAAATCTATTCCTATCCACATTAGCAGATAGGCAATAGTCAGCTATAGGAATATGTTGAAGGATTTTTCCTAAAAAAAAAAAAAAAAAAACAAAGTAGAGAGGATAGACAAAGAATAAGGTTGGGTTATTCTAATTGTGATTTTTCCTTGGAAACATCATTGTGGCAAAAATCCCTTTTCTTCATAACTTGGTTCTTTCACGGATAAACTGTTAGCTTTACAACCAGATTGAGCTATAAATCATCAATCTCCAGCTGTGTAATCTTACTACAATTTCTCAGCTTAATTTGGCAGAATACTCACAGACAATGCTCAGAACCTTCCCTGCAGACAAGAATGAATTCTTACCAAACAGATAGAAAGCCTACAGTAATGTAAAGGCATCAGAGACTCGTGTATTTTCTCAAGAAGCTTTTTCCTACTGCCCTTCCAAATAAACTTACTTTATTTAAAAGGTCTGTATGGCCACCCATCCTAGAACACAAATCTGGGCAGCTCACAACAACAATGTATTTGTCAGCTCCCCTTAATGGCCTTAGAGTAACAATTGTGATATATTTACAGAATGCTCCTCTCTTGCCTGAGAACCATCGGTTCCCACCTCACGAGCCACAGCTCTCACATTATGGACATTTTTGCTGGAGCTGCGGTATAGATAAGGTCACTAGATCCAAAGAAAAAAATGAAGCAGTTAACTGCGATTACACACTTAAGTTTTCATCCAAAACAAAAAAATAAAAGAATATAGCATCAGAGATTTAATTTTAAGGCAAGGAAATACTTCTTGAAAATGTAAAATTTGTGTAATTTCTGTTAAGGTAATTGCTAGTTTCAGGAGAATTTTTTAAATTTGGCTTAAAAAAATAAAAGTGTATCAAAAGTGATACTTTTACTGTGATTAGTTTTAGTTATATAATCCTTCCAGGCAGTGGTGGGATTCAAATATGTGAACAACCAGTTCTCTGTGTGGATGCTGCTTCCGGAAGTCCATTCTGGGCCTGGGCAACAATTAGCTACCGGTTCTGCCATAGTGGTGCAAACCAGATGAATTCCACCACTGCTTCCAGGGATCTCTGTTACTGGATGAATTAAAATTTTGATAAAAGGCTTCAATTTTGCATTGCTCTTTTCTTTCCTTTTTTTTTTTACAGTATTCTTTATTACCCCATTTAGCCCTGTCCATGTTCTCCCATCCATGTTTCCACTGGTTCCAGAAAAGGGAATCAGAATCAGATTCTGGAATAGATAATAAAATTGGCATTTAAAAGACCTTTCAGTCCATACCAGGGGTAGGCAACCTTGGCTCTTTTATGACTCGTGGACTTCAACTCCCAGAATTCCTGAACCAGCCATCCTGACTCAGGAATTCTGGGAATTGAAGTCCACGAGTCATAAAAGAGCCAAGGTTGCCTACCCCGGGTCTATACAATAATAGTTCTTTTAATATTAATGTACTCCTGACTATCTACTTGTACTAGATTATCTAGATTAGCTTACCTGTGGTTGAAACTGAGACACAGGAGGACCTGGCAGGCCCTGTGATTGTTCATCCATTATTTCAAATCACAATCCTTTTGAATAACCTGTATTAAAACAGGATACAATGAAAACAGATTTTTCCTTGCATTTTTATGAGACACTTTACAGGGTTAACATGAGCAAAGGATTATAATCATAGTAGTGATAAAAGAGGAAACCACAGAAAGAATAGTGAAGTCAATGTGTCAATGTGTTTACATACAGGAAGAGCAAGTTCAGTCAGCCAAAGCAACATCAAGTGATCTTTTGCATGTAACCTTTAGCCCAAGCTCATATTTAAATATCTGTGCCCTTTTCTTTTCATTTTCTACAGATGAAAGCTGGTGGCTCACAATGTGATCTACATAGTCTTTTTGTAACTACAGAGACATCTGCAGGATCCAAGGCATTCATCACAATGATTAAACCATTATTGTGCTATACATACAGTACTATAACATATACAGTATACAGTGCATTCAGAAAGTATTCAGACCCCTTTCACGTTTGTCAATTTTGTTATGCTGCAGCCTGATTCTACAGTTGTTGAAATTCATTTTTCTTCTCATTAATCCACACTCAATACCCCATGACAAAGTGAAAACAGAATTTTAGAAATGTCTGTAAATTTATTAAAAAGGAAAAACTGAACTATCACATTGCATAAGTACTCAAACCCTTCATTCAGTACTTTGTTGAAGCAATTACAGCCTCGAGTCTTTTGGGGTATGACACCACAAGCTTTGCACACCTGGATTGGGGGATGTTCTGCCATTCTCTCTTGCAAATCCTCTCAAGCTCAATCAGATTGGATGGTGACCATCAATAGAGAGTCATTTTCAGGTCCTTCCAGAGATATTCAATAGGGCTCAAGTCAGGGCTCTGGCTGGGCCACTCTAGGACATTCACAGAGTTGTTCCTAAGCCACTCTTGTGTTGTCTTGGCTTTGTGCTTAGGAAAGTAAACTTTTGGCCCAGCCTAAGGTCCTGAGCGCTGTGGAACAAGTTTTCATTGAGGATATCCATGTACTTTGCTCCATTCAGCTTTCCCTCAACCCTGACCAGTCTCCCTGTCCCTGCTGCTAAAAAAGACCTCCACAGCATGATGCTGCCACCACTATGCTTCATTGTTGGGATGATATTGGCCAGGTGATAAGCGGTGCCTGGTTTCTCCAGACATAACGTTTAGAATTGAGGCCAAACAGTTCAATCTTGGTTTCATCAGACCAGAGAATCTTGTTCCTCACAGTCTGAAGTCCTTCAGTTGCTTTTTTTTAAACTACAAGGGGGCTTTCATACGTTTTGCACTGAGGAGAGGCTTCCGTCTAGCCACTCTGCCATAAAGCCCAGATTGCTGCAATGATGGTTTTCCTTCTGGAACTCTGTCCCATCTCCACAGAGGAACTCTGGCCATCAGGTTCTTGGTCACCTCTCTTATTAAACCCTTTCTCCCCCAATTGTTCAGTTTGATTGGGCAACCAGCTCTTAGAAGACTCCTGGTTGTGCCAAACCTCTTCCATTTGAGAATTATGGAGGCCACTGTGCTCTTAGGAACCTTCAGTGCAGCAGAAATTTCATTGTAGCCTTCCCCAGATCTGTGCCTTGCAGTAATCCTGTCTCTGAGCTCTGTAGGCAATTCCTTTGACTTCATGGCTTTTGCTCTGCTACAGTATCCATTGTCAGCTGTGAAGCCTTCTATAGAGAGGTGTCTTTCCAAATCATGTCCAATCAATTTAATTTACCACAGGTGGACTCCACTCAAGGTATAGAAACATATCAGCACCAATCAAGAGAAATGGGGGGTACCTGAACTAAATTTCGAGTGTTGTTGCAAAGGATCTAAATATTTATGCCAATGTGATATATCAGGTTTTTTTCTTTTTAATTAATATACACAGGGCTTTTTTTCAGCCGGAACGCGGCGGAACCGCGTTCCGGCACCTTTTTCCGGGCCGGCCGCACCGGGCGCAACATCTGGGGGGGCGCGCTCGCACTCGCAGCTCTCTGCCCCTGCCTGGCTCACAACCGCGGCCATAGGGAGGCTCGGTCGGCGCGCCCCTGGCCCGTTTCCTAGGCGACCCTGCCCG